TTTTTTGGGATAGGAACAAATATCGATCTCTTCCAGTCAGTTGGCCAAGTGGTTGTTCTCCAGATTTCTTGGCACAACTTGGTGAGCATGTCCATGGCAGCATCCATTTAATTTAGCTAGCTTCCATTAATATTTTTCTTTCATAAAGCTCAGTTTTAATAGGCAAAAGGTTCAAATATATGAAATAAGACATACTTTCTAGAGCCCAGAAAAACTTTTTTTAAGAGGATGCTAGGGGTGGAAGGGAACAAAAGAAATCATGTACACAATTTGGGGAAAACATTACACAGAGAAGATCCTAAAGAGCCAAGCACACCACTGTACCTGTGCTGTTCCATCATAGGATGCAGATACCAGCCTTCCATCATGATGTGGACTCCAAGCCAGGCTGGTAATCTTGGCTGTGTGCCCTGAGAGGGTGCGGTAGGGTTCTGTAATGGTTACTGGAGATTCCGGATTGCTCTCTAGAAGGCAAAGGCAGGATGTCACTACTACCAGTAAGCTTAGAATTAGAGGTTAATACATAATAATGCAAACAGGGCTAAAGCAAACATTTTAAAATTTGCTTTCCATGTAATTTTTTTAGCAGGCAATTTTGTCCAGTGATAAGTGTTAGCATACCATAGACACATGGTAAACAAAAAATGCTATCAAGTGACGTGATACCAAGAAGGATATATCATTGAGATTGTTCTCTGAAGTAAGCACACAGAAATAAAAACTTTTATACTGATTTATACAGACATGTACATAACATATATTTAAAATCTGGAGTTAGAAGGTAGCACATTAGTAACATTAGTTATAACTAATAAATGAGTCGATAGGGAATTTTTATTCTGTAAGTCAAAATACTTTTCACCTTCTAAGTAACTTTAAGAAAAGATTAATGCATTATTACTTTTAAAAACAGAAAATCATAACAGCCTTACTTTAATGCTAAAAATAAATACTGGAGTAGAAAGAGCAGAAAATCATAAACAGCATTTACTTTAATGCTTAAAATAAATAAACACTGGAGTGGAAACTGGCCCAATATACTCTTTGGTATGAAAGAAATAAAATTTTCCTACTGCCAAAGGGGCCCTTTAGAGTAGTGAGAGAAGATCTTCACCCTGAAACCCACAGCGTCCCTTTTCAGCAGGAAGTAGCTAAGAGAAT